TTCCATTTTATATAACGTACCCATAAAGAATTTGCTAACAATTCCTTTCCTAAATCTTGAAGTATCATACTAAATGTCATCATCGTCCAAGGACTTCATAAATAGGATAGGTCGCCAATTTGCTTCACATGTTATCTAAGTATTCCTTGAGGCATAAGAAAAAAGTTAAAATAACTTAAAGTCTTGACTATTTTCAATTCTTGTCTATGGCTTCTAGAGCCATTTTCAAATTTTAAGTGATGATAAATTATGGATTCTACCAGAAATGTCTCAAGGCATCAGATTGGAGGGTGTCTGATGCAGATTTCTCTATCAGCTTTCAGCAGAGTTCCAAGTGTTGTATCTGTTAGGACAAGTAGGAGAAATATGAATTATATTTAAAAAAACATATCTCAAAATTAAATGCCAAATCTAATTACAGATAATTTTTTCTTATTTATTTTAACAAATTCACTCTTCTAATTTTGAGATAACAAGTTAGATGCTTTCCATTTAGATATGTAAGTCTGTGTATGCAGTGTATGTGTATGTATTAATGTGTATATAACAAGATACATAGCATTATACCAAATTCTGCACCCTTAATTTGACCACAAACCCTGTTGGTCTTCCTTAGAAGATCCTGAGTATCACTATATCTGGTCGTTTGACTAGCAGCTATAGTGTAATAATTTTATAAAATTTATTTTATATACTCAAGTTAGATATTAATAAAAGTAGTATGTTTTGAAGAATCATCTTCAAACAAAAAGAAACAAGAGTGAAAATGGTCACAGTGTTAGCTTTATCCTATAGATTTGAAAGTTCTCCTTCTTTTAACACACTAGCTTTCAATATAAAGTTACTATCTGATATTGCAGTCAGTGCTAATGTTTTATACTCATGATTGTTAGGCTTCAGTGTTTTCTTAAGATACTTCTCAAACATCTACATTTTTATCTCACCTTGTAGAGGAACACTAACCATAATTTATAAGTATGAATGATTTTAGGATTCTGACAAGGGCAAACCAGTTCAGAAAGGCAAAAGAGAGATTGAGAATCCATGTTACTTCATGGAAATCCCTCCAGTAACAGAATCACATTCTATGACATGAATATCCAAGCCACGGAAACCTTTAAGATGGAACAAGCAAAAGTTTAGTTATTAAGGCATTCCTTTTAACCTTTCATACCAAGAAATCTTTTCCCACACCACATTTCCTGGATGCCAGAGATGTAAAGCCATGTCACTTTGCCTTGATAGAACCAGGAGCCATGTTCCTTTTTTTTATCTAGAAGAAATAAATCACACAGGCTCCATGGACATTGTGCCTTAGCACAGGCCATCACAGATGAATACTAAGGCAGTACAATTGTTAGGTTTGTCATTTTGTGTGTATGTGATGGAATGTGTGTGAAATCTCTTCACTGTTGGCCAATCTGTTTCCAATTTAAATCCAATCCTAAAATCCTGTCATGCAAAGGACATTGTGCTTTCTGTATCTGAAGCATTTCTTGGAGAGGCTTAGCAGCCTTCAGAATGTATGCAAAAACAGCATCATTGACTGTAAACTGTTCAGAGGACCAAGCTTGCTCTTGTTATGGACTTTATAATAGCAGAAGGTGTAGGTTTCCTTGTTTTTAAAAATAAAATTACCCATGGCCTGAGGTCAGTATTTCTATTTTGGTCAAGCTTCAAGAATGGCATATGTAGCTTGATCATGCTAGCTCTTTTTGTCCTAGGAATACTTTTATTCCTGCCCATCATGTTAAAGCTTATTTTTAACAACATCAACAAGTTGGCAGCCAAAGTACGTGGCTTGAAACTGAAAATGGACCCCCAGACAGAGTTATTAAATTAACAGACTGGCAAGCCAAGGACGGGTAAGATTCTGCACAGAGCCTTACCAACCTAAGACATAAGTGCATTGCTTTTGAGCATGCATATTCCATGACAGGTAAGGAAGGCATTCTTGTCAGAATGACCTGAGAAAGGCTCAGTCTTGTTTATGAAATAAAAAAAGGGGGAGAGATGGAGAGGTTTTGGGGCTGCTTGGAAAGAATCTGGCATGGGCCAAAGACAAGGAAATGGGCTGCTTGGCAGGAATATGACATTTGTCAAGGACAAGAAAGTGGACTTCAGGCAGGAATCTGACATTAGGCTAGAACAAAGAAGTAATTTCAGGCAGGAATCTAAATCTTAGGCTAGAACAAAGAAGTCGACTTCAGACATGAGAAAGACTTTGGGCTAGGACAGGGAAGTCTGCTCAGATACTTTGATCATCCTGATAAGCCCTTAGAAACAGTGATCATGAGAGTGTTCACGGAACTTTGTTTATTGCCTTCCTTGTTCTTTGACTATTTATGTTTATTGTCTTGCTTGTTCCTTGAGTATTTGTGTCTATCGTATTGCTAGTTCCTCAACCCAGAACTGACCTTAATCCTTGCATGCAATTAAAATGGTATAAAATCAAAAAAGAGGAGGGAGATGGGATAGGGAGTTTCTAGGGAGGAGAAATGGGGAAGGGGATGGCATCTGAAATATAAATAAATAAAATGTCCAATAAAAAATTTAAAAATACTTTTCACTTAAAAATTACTTCAAGTCTTAATGGTGGTATATGCCTGTAATCCCAGAACTCTATATGTATGTACCTAAAGCAATCAGGCAAGCCATGGAATTTGAAAAGCATTTTCTAAGATATGTCATATTTTAAGTACCATTTCAGTACTAACTATAACCAATCTATATGCTAAAAACTGAAATTCATGTAGTTCTTATAAAATTTTGGGGCAAGAAGCTATTGAGACTTCTCAGCAGGTATGAATATATGCTTTTCTTACAGAGGACCCAAGTTCAAGACACAAATATAAATATCACTCATGTTAGCCAGTTCGTATCCACATGTGACCCCAGCTCCAGGGTATCCAACACCTTCTTCTAGATTCCACTGGTGCTTGTATCCATCCATACATACCCACAGCGATACACAGAAATATATTCTTAAAGATAAAAATATTTTGAAGAGCTTTTTATGCATCATTAAAGATTGTTATGTTCCATCTAACTTTACATTAACATTAATTTGTGATATTTACATTTTTATGGTGATCTGTATATGGCATAAATGAAAATTTCAATTAACCAAAATGGCTGTTGATTGAGAAAACTCATTCTTAGCCTCTTGGAAATTTTTGTAAGTTAATACTAAATTAACCAGAATCATACCTGTATAACTTACTGAAAATCTTGCTAAATAAATGAATAATATTAACTTGGGAAGGACTCATAAGACTCAAAGACAGGAACTAATTGTTGTATATGAAAGGGCCAGTAAGAACTTTCTAATTGACTTTGGGATATATTCATTTGAAAACAATGGATATGTTTATTAAATATTTCATAATTCTTTTATAAATGTTTTATAATACTGGCTTTCCTTAATCTTTTTAAAATGTGTATATTGTGTGTATATGCTGTGTATATATGTGTATGTTATGATGACGTTCCTACCTAGAAAGACTATTTCAAGACAACATATATATCTTTAACTCATTTGTACCTTGGAACTAAAGAAATGTCCTGTTTTGATGCTTCTTTGGTAAATTTCAGGTGAGACAGATGTGCAGAGTTCTTGAGTTTAGGGGAAATGTGCATACAGCCAGACTGTCTTTAGGAAAAGGCTAGCTAAAAAGTAGAAAGCTATTTAAAGATCTTAGTTAATGTTTTTTCTTCCCACCAGTTCAAAGTCAGGAATGAACCATTCTGATCAAGCTGATCATAATCCCTTGGCTGAGCCACACAGAAGACATGTTCTGTCTTTGTTCAGTGCAGACTAGGGACAGCATCAGGTTCGGCTTCCCTCTGGGGAAGGAGCATTTGTACTATAAGCATTCTAACATATTTAGGGAGCAAACATGGTGTATTCCTGGTCATTCAAAGGGACAAACCCAAGAAATAATCAATGGATTTCCTAACTATGTCAGACCTTTCATGTAAGATGAGATAGCAGGAAGAAAATAATAATAGGTCAAAGAGCAGAAGGTATTTGAGGCAACAGTCTCGACTCTCTTACCTTCAAGCCATAACTATGTGGGCTATGTCCACATTCTACAAGGAATGTAAGGAAGTAATGGGAACAAGAAAACTAGCAGCAAAGTTATATCAATTATGAAATTTAAAACTGTTCTCACATTTCATAAACTCAGCAGTTTCTGAAACATGTGTATTACACTTTGATATACCAAACAAACTTTAACAACTTAATCAATGGGTATACTTTTGCCATTTTTTCTCTCTGAAATTTTATCCTGCAACTCTTGAGATATTGGGCTCTCATACAGACAAGTGTATTGATAGTTCTCTCTCATTCTTTTATGAGTGATGAACATATAGTACCACTACTGTGGGGCTGCATGCCCTGGAGATGACTGTAACCTGCTATTGATCAGCTGATTGAAGATGAATGGCTTAGCTGCTTGTATTGCAGATTACATCATTAACATGGTCAGTAAACCATGAATTGTTCAATAAGACGTTTATCTTTTTTCATTTTACTTCTGCTCTTTTATCATTTTTATTAGAAAAGCCAAAATTGCCCACACTAACCAGGACGATCTGTTGAAAGAAATCTAGTAGGGTCCCATTATGACTTCAAAGTTACAGATAGCTAAATGCTAATGGATTCGCGATATTTAGTGTGTGCTTTTTATCGAACCATTTTTTCTAATTTTGTATTACTTTATTATATTTGCGTAACCATATACATCATATGATGTGTGTGTGTGTGTGTGTGTGTGTGTGTGTCTGTGTGTCTGTGTGTCTGTGTGTCTGTGTGTATGTCTGAGTAGGTCAGATAACAACTCCAGTAATCAGTTCTCTCCTTTCATGGTGTGGATTCCAGAATTGGAACTCGAGTTTTGTAACAAGCGCCTTTACCTTCTGAGCCATCAGCTCTCGTATGTGTTTTTGAACTAAAGAAAATACAGTGTTTTGATAATTTTTTTGTTCTCTTACAGCTTCCGTTTGCATCATATTTACTAGAAGCAGTACTGGAGAAAATAAAGGAAAACAAGAAACTAACAGAAGGATACTTCACTGTCATGAAAGACATTAAATAAAGTTAAAGTAGAGCTGTTTTCAAATGCAAGAACTTCCTATGCTGTGGTTCTAAACAGCCCAGATACAGTATCGGCTCCAGCTAGCAACAGGCAGCTTCAACCACATCAAAAGTTGCTGAAATTGACTGCTGGACAAATGAAGCTAAGTGCACGATCACATAAAAGGAAGTCTAGCTTTGGAATTTTGGATATTGTCCCAATCAATGCAAACTTAAAAATGGTTTTCCTTCCAGTACATAAGAAGAAAACATAATAAGCTTGTTACATACGATTGGTCTGAGTATAAAATGAAAAAAATATAAATAAAGGACTTAATATAAATTTTATATGAAAAACTAGACTTTTATATAAAACTGTTAGAAACGTGATCCAGTGAACAACATCTTTGTGTGGTGAGAAAATATGCAGTGACTTATCCTAATCTGAACGAGGGGCATCGAGGGAAGTCCTTTGTATGGTTCCACTGTGTCTGTTCTCATTGACATACTGGATTATACAGGAGATACTCTGTTTTCCTAGAACTATCTGGAAAAATAAAAACCTTTCTCTCCTCTGTCTGCTTGTGCAGATGTATAAGTCAGCAAGGGCCAGACCCCAGTGTATGATGTTGGGCTAGACCCAGCAGAGCTCCTACCATGGTCATGTCACTAGCAATGCCTTCTCGCTGTAGTGGGATCATTGTGTTTGGTTGTTGACCATCCCCTTCCTTGCACATCCTCACTGAGTTCTTGCCACACATTCTTGAAGCCTCTGAGTCCAGTCACTGAACTTGCTCCTCTATGCTTGCTGTTGAAACCATCTTTATAGGATACTTTGTGTGTAACTGTATGCATACCTGTCTCCTCATTATCCAGTTTCTCTTTACCAGTTCCATCATGGCCTATTCTCTGAATATCTTCCTATTAACGTGAAATCATCTGTTTTTAATATGCTCATTCTCTGTTTTATGGTTTATCCTCATTTCTCCCTTTAAAATGTCGATCCCATGAGATTAAGGTAGGTTTTGGCAAATTAAGGCCCATAGCCAAATCTAGCCTGCCATCTACTTTTATATAGCTCACAGACTAAAATTTTTTCTACTTTATTAAACTATTTAAAAACAATACTTTGTAGCATGTAAAAATCATATGAAATTCAATTTTAATGTCTTATCAATAAAGATTTATTGAGATTCAGTGATGCTCATTCCTTTGAACAACTCTTAGTATAGCTATAACACTGGTAGTGAATCTGAGTGACCAGCAGAGGCTGTATGTGGTATTTCCTTACTTAGCACTGCTACTCAGCATGCTACAGCCACAGTGACATAGTTTAACATGAACGCAATATTGTCAAGTTACAAATAGTGAATTACTGGGTGTTTAAAAATATTAACACATACCCAACCTGTCAAAGCCGTTAAGATCACACTCTTAAGACAGAGAGCAGTGTGGTTTTTGTCCTGCACTGGATAGCAGGGCCTTGTGTTTCTTGTATAATGGCCCTATACCTATGCTAAAAGAGCATGGAACACATAGATGACCAGAGTAAACACACCGTGTCACCACTCATAGGAGGACATAAGTTAAAAATATATACAGTCGGAAATATATCAGCTTATCAGAGGATTCTGTTATAAAAATAAGCCACCCCAAAAAAAATACATGAAACAACAAAGAAAATGACACTTTACAAAGATTGCGTATTAACCCTTGTAACTCCTGAATTTCGTATGTGGCCAGAGGGACTTTAGTGATTAAGGATCATGAGTGGAAAGGATGCTTAGACAATCTACATAGATTCTTATAAACTACAGGGTCAGATAGAGGGAAAGAAAGAAGGGAAGAAAAGAGAGTCAATGATGGTGGATAGAAAGAGGAAGAGAGAGAGTCAAAGAGAGGAAGAGAAAGTGTCAGAAAGAGGTTGTACATTTTCAGTTACAAGCAAAAGGACAGAGAATTTTGAAAATGCTGCACTACTTGTTTTAAACATGGAGGAAGGGGACTAATCATAAGCTATAGAATTTAAATGATCCTTGGAGACAAGAAAAGGCAATAAAATAATGCTTTCCTCAGAAGAATGCTGATACAAACTGATTAGCAAAATGAATTTGTGTATGACTTTCCAGAACTTGGGGAGAGTAGGTTTTCTTGTTTCTTGTTTTAAGCTACAAAGTTTATGGTAATTAGTGCAAAAGTATAAAATAACAGCTTACTAAAATATCATTCATAACTTCTTATTCATGTGTTCATGTGGGGCTTTGATCAGAAGATGTACAGAAGGCTGAGTCATTTCATTAACAAGCTAGGAAGTAAATAACATATAATTTAATAACGCAAAGTAGGAAAAGCACTTGGCAAAAGTCAACACAAAGACCTGCAACATGACTCGGTTTCTAAGGGCACTGACCACCCAGCCTACAAACCTATGATCCTCAGAAGCTACACAGAAAGGAGAGAACCAACTCCCACAAAGTTGTCTTCTAAGCATACAGGCACTGTGATACCTGTACACACACTCCACACACATGTTTTAAAAGCCATAAAAGTTACAAGGGACTGCAGAAAACAGACAAGTTCCTTGCTTTGATTCGAAACAGCTCCAAAAACCCCATTACCAACATTGTCTGAAACAGTGGAGGCAGCCTTTCCTTCCAACATCAGGAAATAGAGAGAACTTCATTCAGCCCCTGATAGTCTTTCTAAGCCTAGCATGGAAACATCTAGCTGCACAACAAGGCAGCAAAAGCAATGAAAGGGAAAGAAATTCACACAGATAAGAAAGGAAGGAGATCTGTAAACCAGCAAACAGCAGCAAAAAAATGTTCATCAAGAAGCCAACAAGAGCAACGTAACAAATCTCAGCTGTATGTCTATACATTAGTGACAAGTACGTAGAAACCAAAATTATGATGGTAACTTATTTCCCCAGGAATGACATGCTTAGGTATGAATTTAACAAAGCATCTTTAGTACTTAAATATCAGAGCTATAAAGCACGTATGTAACAAATCAGTTTTAAATAAATAGAGCATACCAAGAATGTGAGTGGGGATAGTCAATTTAGTAAAATACAGCAAAGTGTGTCCAAATTGATAGGTTTAAAATGATACTCTATGATTTATCTGGCAAGGCAAAGTAAATATAACAAATAAAAATGTAAAAAAAAATAAAAGACTATGAGAGAGATCACTCCACATTTCAAATTGCATCATTTAGCAACAAGAATAAGTGTGCAGTGTCAGCAGAGGAATAGAGGCGTAGGACAGAGGAAGAAAATAGAAATCTGGGAATAAGCCCAAGTGATCATAGGCAAAGATGCAAACAATCCTCTAGAGGCAGAATAGCCACGTCAACACATGGTAGGAACTAACTGACAACCTTATATTAAGAAAAAATAATACAATTTGACCTTAAGCCCACACCTTAGGACTCAGATGTAGAAGGAGTCAAGGAAGTATTGACAAGTGACCACTGCTGGGTGATGGGGCATCCATGGTTCCATGGAGTGTAGTCCCAGCAAAACAACGTGCTCTGGCAGGAGCCACACATCCAAGCACTCAAAAGGGATAGAACAGTTGGAACTTGGTGGGCTTAATTTTTAAAAATCAAAATTGGACTGATAGAACAAGGGTATCTTGGAAGAATTAGAAGGTGAATATGATCAAATACAAATGAATTCTCAAGATTTCATATATATATTAAATCTTGAGGGTGCGTGCGTGCGTGCGTGCGTGTGTGTGTGTGTGTGTGTAGTAAGATGCTGGTGTGTTACAGATGTGGTGTCTGTAACTATATAGCCATTACTCTGGTGTCCTCCTCAATCACTTATTTTTTGGACTGTCTCCCACTGAACCTGCTACTTGACACTTCGGCTAGATTGGCTGGCCAGCAAGTACCCAGAATCTGCCTGTCCCATCTGAGACAATGTAGGTGACAATAGGAGAGAAAATCTTCCAGGACCTAATGTTTGGAGAAGAACTGCAAGAAGTACACCAAAAACATGCTGCAGGATGGAAAACCTGGCCAATGTCATCAAAATTTAAAACGATTGCTCAGGGAGTAGCTAGCTACAGTTATAATCTCTCCATGTCCGAATCATATCTGTCAATCACATAGCTGATAAAGGACTCATCCAAAACTAAAAATTCAACAACGAAACAATTCTTCGGGTATCCTTGAATGACAGCTGTTTACCATCGTCAAGAATGGTCATGATTATATGTGTTTAGAATGTAGGAACAGGGAGGGAGAGAAATTATGTCATCAGCACTGGCCCCTAGGCTCCTATCGAAAGTTCTGCTTACACTCATTACTCCTCAAAATTATGTAGGATTTTGTCCAATAGCACAAGTGATCCTTGGGTCTGGAGGTCCCAAAATGAAAATTTCTGGGAGAAATTTATAACCACACCGAGAAAGTCTTTCTCAGTGCCCTCAAATAACTATAAAAGCAAACAGGAGGGATAGCAGGAACCCCTTGGAGAGAGCCCTTTACTGGCCTTAATGTCTGTGTTCAGAAGAGCCATGAAACCTACCAGCAGAAGAGTTGCTATTTTCAATTCTACATCCCTGTGCACATAACGGCCTATGATAGTAACACAAAAGTTAGGAGTGGTTTAATATAATAAAAATGATTTCTTGTGCAATGAAATTTCTCATCAAATACATGATTTTTTAAACCTTCTTGCAATAAACATTGATGTGCCTGTATCTCCGTGGAATGTTGACTTGGAGACAAGTCAGATAAATACCCAGAAGTAGTATAGCTGGGTCATTTTACACAGCTCTTTGGACATCAATGGCTAGTGCAACCCTGTTCCTGGCAGCTAAAACCTAGTTCTCCAGCGAGAGTAGAATGGTTAAAGAGAAACCAATAATATGTACAGAAACACACACACACACACACATGTAATATTTTATATGTGTGATATGTTTATGTGTGTAATATATATATAATATATATATATGAATTTTATTAGTCATAATGAAGAATAAAGTTAGCTCATCTGCAGGAAAATGTGTGCAACTTGTGATATTCCTATCAAAAAATTAGCCCAAACATACTCAAACACACTGATGCCATTTATTCCCCTTATTTATAGCTCTGATATCTACATAGATCTTATGAAGATAAAACTTTACATGTGCATATGACATGAAAAAAGAAGTATGGTCTAGGGGAACAAATAGGGGTAATTGTAGGGGGGACAGGGTAAACACATTCAACATAAATATAGATTTTATGAAAATCAAAATAACATAAAACAACCTT